TGACCATAGATATATATATATATATATTTATTTATTTATTTATTTTTACAAGTGTACACCTGCCTGTATCAGGGCATTCCATTTCGACTTGCCTCGGGGCCTACTGGCGTGAACCCCTTCCGCATTGACATCCTCAAACAGGCGGGGCTGCACGGAGCTTCGCATGTCCCGAAGTGTAGAACGGGATTCAGAGCACAAGCTCACAGGGACCTGCTTCAGAGTAAGTCCATGCCGGTTCTGGCTAAGCTAATAAGAATTGCGAAAAGCTTCAAGTCCGAGCCACCATTGCTGACACGCAATTTCTGAAGCAATCCGGCCTTCCAGGAGCAGTAAGAACCTGGACAGGCGAGCCTTAGAGGAAAGCGAAACTAAGTCTGCTCAGACTGGACTCATAGGCTTCTTTAGGTGTGCACGCCGATCTCTGTGCAGACAGCAGGAAGGCTTAAAAGCCGAAGTCGAACAGACCCCAAGGCTGCGAGCTACGGAACTCGACCCGGAAGCCTCGGGTCCTTTGCTGGAAACTCACTTGACAGGTCGGCTCCGCACGCTTGGCGGTGCGTCCCGGCGAAGGCCATCTTGCTGCGTTTTGCGGAGTTTTGCTCATCTTTTCGAGGGAGCTTTTGGCACAGCAGGCAACTATTCCATCGAAGTGAAGGATGCTGGAGAGGGCGGCGAGCCCGTCCGAGTGGGCTTTGCCGTTCGCCGCTGGGAAAGCAATTCGTTGGATCTGAATGGTCTTGGCAGCTTGCAATTTACTTGCACATTTTTCCAAAGCTGAGACACTATACTTGCAGCCCAGAGCGAAGATTCCCGTCAAAACAGGCAGTGTGCCACTCAGGTCGCGTGCTAAATCTACTGACTTATTTGCCGCTCATGCACCAAGCTTTCGCAACAGCTGGAAGCTGGAAACTTCTAGAAGGCCCTGCAATCTCCGGGGAATTTCAAGCCGAGCTCATGTGAACCGGTGTCGTTCGAAAACCTCCGGAAAAGAACGTTGAACAGATTGAATCCCATGCACATGCTGACAAAACGATCGTTCTCGTTTGGAGCCTTGCAGGACTGAGCCCGCGCGGGTGTGCTAGAGACGGTCTAGCCCTAAAAATTTAAATGGCTCCTCCTTGCATGGCTCTGATACAGAGCGAACAGGCGAGCGTTGTAGTATTGTTCTCGCTTCCTGGGATTGGTCAGCTTTTTTGGGCGACTTGTACGGCCAAGACTATGATAACTTCATTATAATATGCTATAACATACTAGAAATAAAGTAAGTACTACCAAAGCCGAGGTGCTCTGGGACCCAAGAAAGGCGAGCAAATCGAAGCTCCGCCTTCGGAGCGGCCGAAGGCGGCAGAGTTCTAAGCGCTCTTTGGGCTCGAGCTGTAGCCCAAGAAAGCGTTGTTTATGGGCCTGTAGGGTCTTGTAAGGGATCTCAAGAGATTTACGTGGGATCTGGATCTATAAAGAAATATACAAGGATCTCCCGCAATGAAGAACACTAAGAAGGTAGGTTTTGGGGGTTACGCTCAGAGTTTGGGATTCCGAGTTTGATGCAGAATCTGCATGCTTAGACCTTGGGGTTCAGAGGTTGTTGAGGTTTCTTCCGTTTCTGAGCTGGCTTTGCAATGCTGAGCACCGAAAAGCGTAGAAGAAAAGCACGGCATGTGTGTGTGTGGGAGCTCTTCTTGACTTTGTGGTGCATACCACTCCGGCTGTTAGGTGTCACGCCACCACAGAACTGTTCCAGATTCAGTCTCACATATCGTTTCAAGATGAGCCCTACTATGAATGAAGGGGATCTGCACAGGTCCGATCTCGGGGCGCTTCGAATGCCCTGCCTATGAAGGAGGCTCAATTTCCAGCTCGACTTGCCTTGTTTGAAGGGATCTAGGATTCTCATGCCGAGCCGCAGCAACGAGGCGAGTTGGCAAAGAATGCAAACATCCTGTACTCCAGGAAGAGGAGAAGCGCTTCCTCTCTCAAACTGCTGTGGCCAAAGAGCCCAGAGCCCAG